TAATATACATATTCACTGACTTTAAAAGTAATTGAAGCCCATGTATGTATTTTGGAATTTGTTCGTTGTCAAATTTGGTTCGGAGCAAACTGGTTTCTGCCATGTGCCACCTTCAGGGTAATTTTTTGTCTCGAAACCTTTCACTTTCTCACCCTGCGGGAGAAAACCACGAAGACTAAAAAATAATAGAAAGCAAAACCAATTAAAACCATATTGAGTTACTTTGGAACAAATTTCCGTCATTCCTTGTCCAGTTGATTTTGAAGACAGACCGGTTTCAGCCTTGTGTCATCTTGAGTGCCATTTTTAGTTCTCCAGTGCCTACTACAAATTCGTACAAAATTTCGACATTTAATATCTGAGCTTAATGGCAATGAAAAAACTGAAGCCCTCGTTTGTAAGACGCTTTAGGCAGCATATTTTTTTTTCCAAAACGTAGTTAGACTACACCATCCTCATAGTAGCGTTCGACCATGCTAAGAATAGCAGAAATATCATATTGCAAAGAGATTCCTTCGGACGCCTTTTCTCCGCCTTTGACAGCACATAAATAATGTTCAAACGGCGTCCCATTAATTTGCGTTGCTTACCACATCACAGGCGCCTAAGCCGACAATAAGAGAATTCTTTTCAATGGGCTAACTAATTTAATACCCAGGCGGGATTGTTCAGAACCGCGAAATTATTTATGTAGTTATGTCAAAGATTTGGCCTAAAGTTGTGGCAAATGTGCTAACTCAAACACATATACACGCACACATCTATCCTTTGGCTCGTTAAAATTAGTTTATTTATTTCAACTTGTACTAGATTTATAAATAGTTACATACAGTGAGTGTCAGAGAAAAGCGTAAAGTAAATTTGTGTAAATTTTTTGAAAATATTTTGTTGTATTTAATTGTTTTTTTAGTTTTTAATAAAAATTTATGTTATTTAGGTAGATCCATAAAACTCAAAGTTTCTCACTTTAATATAAAATTTTAACTTAATATAAATTTTAAAACTTCACAGTTTTTATTCAGAATTTTTCCGAACATTTTTGGCTCCAAAATACCTTTGCTTTTTGGCATTTTTTTTGTTGACGTTGCGCACAGTTTCTTTCATATCACACCGTCAACAGAAAAAAATTGCCAAAAATCAACGACATTTTGTAGCCACCTCAAACTTGAACTTTATTATACTAAAATTTAATTGGCTTTATAACTGCATACCAAAAAAAAAAATCTGAATGAAAATTGTGAAGTTTTGATGGAAATTTGAAATATTTTTAAATTGTTAGAAATTTTGATTTTTATGGATTTTATACGACTTTACTGTACAATTTTCACTGACACTCACTGTATGTACATACCCAAATATATACATACATGTTTCAAAACATTAGTATACTATACATTTTTGCATGGTGTGAAGTAGCTTTCCTTTTTTAAATATTTACGTACATACATACATACGTACATACTTACGTATTTACGTACAACGTCCGTAGTTTATTTGGTTTGATTACAATTACGATATTCGTCGAGTTGGCACGCGAATGTTTATATTTGATGAAATCTTCGAAGGGAACGTGCCAAAAATTACTTAATCGAAATTCTGCAATACGAGTACATAATGAAAATAAACTAAGATCTTTCAACGCTTAACATAATATCTGAAACAAATATACAAAAGAATAGAGATTGCCCCGCTTTTGGCTGATTGCAATATGAGCGAAATCTAGTGAAATATAAGCTTAAAAAAATATAACCTATGACAACATTTTCTCAGACCCGGTCGTATACATATGTATATGTACATTCATACATACATATATGTAGTCATTTTCTTCTGTTGATGAATTTATACAATTTTTTTCTACATTAAGTCCCTTTTTTTCAAGCAGGTTTTAAAATATATTCGTTCTTTACACACAACTTTTCTTCTAAAAAAATGTCTTTGAAGGGCAGACACATTTTAAAACCTACTTGAGAAAACGGCACTAAGTAGTACAATTTGTGTATGAGGGACCCAAGGGTCTGTTCAGGACTAACTGAATATTCGGTCAGTATGAATTAACGGCGCCTGTAGCCGAGCGGTTAGAGGTGCGCACTACCATTCCGCAGTACCTGGCTTCGATCCCTTTTCCGAGCAACAGCTAAATTAGAAAAAGTTTAACAGCGGTCGCCTCACGGCAGGCAATACCTTGAGAAAGCTTCTCATAAAACCATTTGACCCTCGGAGTCGGCGTAAAATTTGTTGGTCTCTCCATTTGTGTTATAACATCGGGACTCACACTACAAATAGGACGAAAAGCTCGACCAAACACTAACATATGTGTCAACGCCAATCGATTATGGAATCGCTCTTTATGATCTTAATAATTCTGAACTATTCTTCCCGTTGTTATCCAGCAGCGAAAATTTAGGATTACTTATAATGGGTTTGCCATGAAGGAAGGAATTTTCTTCGCCTTCCCCTATTTTCGGTTTCCGTAGCTTATTTGATGGAACAACAAAACGTCGCACAGTGTTCCGTAAAGAACAAGCTGAGGGAAACAAATTATTTGCGGATATTTTGAACGGTGTACTTAGGCTTTTAATTTCCAATATAACCTCGGTTTTTTCGAATTGGTTCCTGTTTACGAATTATTCGGAAATTCGGAAAACTGAGGGTATGCACCTAAAATATCCGGACCCTTAATGCGGTGGACGAACGTCTAGCCACAATCTGCATCAAGGCGAGATTCTTCAACATCTCGCTCATTTGTGGTCATGTCACGGCGTAAGAGGAAGGGGAGGCGTCCAAGGATCTCTTTTATGAGCACAAATGGAGTGAACATATGAGCGCTGCCGCCGACAAGATATCGTACCTGGCGATTTCAATGCCGTCATCAGACACACACGACACTGTGGACAGTTACAATTTCGAAAAAGTAAAGGACTTTGTTTAATAGCCAATAATAAAGTCAGCTTTTGAATTTAGCTGAGAATCACTTTTGCCAACAAGTGTTACTTTGGACTGAGTAGACAATTGAGAAGTACTACTACTAAAATTCAATTTGAAGTAGGACATATCAAAAGGAAAGAAATTATTAATATTGGGAGGAAAAGCTCACCAGCGGCCATCGAAGAATGGGACATATTTTAGAGTTAGCCAGTCTTTCTTAAGCTACTTTTGGCGGGGTAGTCTGTTTCATCCGTTTAAGTTATGCACAGTGGATAGCTCATGTTCCTTCGCGGGTAGCAGTTTTCCTGCAATTAAAAAATTTTTCATAAAAATCATCTGTGTTTCGTGGTATGTAAATATTTATGCAACAATTATTGTTGAGCACTTTTCTTTTGCGAAAATCTTAAAGTGTCATTCCGCATATGGAAAATACGCACCTATTCAAACTCTCTTACTTTTTGATTTGTTTCTATAATTTTTTTTTTGTTATTATCCAAATGTGCGACAAGTGCAATAAAATGGAATCCGCCACAAAGGCACAGCAGACATGCTTCAATCACACACTGCAACAACACTAAAGCAATTAAGAATCGCAAATTCCAAAGTGATGCGAAAGTGATTTGTGCCATATGCCGCAAGTGTGCTGTTCCCCTTACAGCCGGTGATCCATCGAAGTGGCAAAGGACTGGACGCCAGGCGTCTGGATGCAACAGCGCGACGCTGGCTAAAAGTCTGTACGTGGAGTGTTTTGCTGATATCTGGCATTTGGCGAGAGTGGCAGCGACCGAATTCGAGCATTTCGAACGTTTCGCGAATACAAACAAACAAACAAACACGTGTATGTATTGATGTCTATGTCGCTGTGAAATCTGTAAGATGTGGTAAATGTCAACGTCTCAATGGCATGCCAGCTTAAAAATAGAAATGTTATTCTTGTATTTTCCTAAGGAATTGCGCAAGTAAATATAGACTTGGGTGCAAGTTGAATATAAAACGTCTTTGGATAATGGAATTCTCAAAGAATTTGAAAGCAAGTAGTGGTGCTTGCATACGAATATTCTGCAGTTCAAGTGGAGAGGCATTCATTGCGGTTTTAACGGCAAGAATGCTATGTTGCCTATTTGATGGCAAACTACAAGAAATTCGAAAACATATCGCCAAATATTCCAGTGGGTTGCTAGCATAAGTCCAAATAAAGTTATATTCATACATACTATATACATACAATAAATACATACATACATACATACATATATTCAGTGCTGATCTGACTGCGATCGCAGTGAAGTCAGCGCCAATTATAATCTTGCAGATGTTGAAATAATCGAAATGAATCTGTTTACACATCCAAAATTAATTGAAAATCGTGCCGAGGTGAAACGCCAACCGGCAACGACGAGTCCATTTAATGGTGTCGAGTCGACAAGAGAGCGCCTATAAAATATTTTACTCCTTATATATGTACATTAATACACATTGCATGGGAAGAATAGGAAAATAATAACAATTGACAAGAGCGCGCACATGTTGGAAAGCACTTCTCTCCCGCTCCCACTGCCCCATCCGCTGTTGTGGATCCCACAACGCATTTTTGGCGAACCTATGCGTACATATGTACAAGTCTGTAAATACATATATACATGTAAGTATGTCCGCATTGGGGTAGCATAATTATTTTTATGTGTGCGTGAGGAAATCTCTGAATGGCCCTTATGCACTTGATTTTTGGTTGAGCTCTTCCGAGGGAGCGAAAGCGCTACGACTTCTATGCAACCTGCCTCAGTCCGCAATGCGTTGCCTGTTGCGGTACATAATGGATGGTGGCATGGGTGTGTGGCTCCATCGCTTTTGTGGCATGATTGCTGGTGAAGTGCTTAATTGATTTCGTGTCAATTTGGAAATACCATTAATTATTATTTGTGGCGCAATGAGGCAGCTTTCAGTGATTTTTTGTGTGGCAGGTCGGTTCCCATTGTGTATCTTCATTAGTTTTAGCATTTGCATGTGTTAATTGCTTAATGTCATTACTCAGATATAATTAAATTTGTGAAATTTTTCTCCTTTCCTTGCAGACACCATGGAAAACAAACTTGGGCTCATCTTATAAACCCAGCGGCTCCAGTGCGGTAAGCGCAACCATTTTCTTATAATTTAAATGACAACAACTTTCTATTTTTTTCTTGCTTGCAGTACACCTCGCGTGATGATATTGGCAGCAGTCGTTATTCTTCTTTGGCTTCGCCGAGCACATATCGTCCGTCCTTCTCTGGCGGCACTTACCGCATCAAGCGCGATACCCCTTCCAGTCTACAGACACCTTCGTACACAAGTCGTTACACGCCGAGTTCGTCGAGTCGCGCGACTCCTGTAGTTGACTCCTCCACCGATATCGGCGGCTCAAAGCGCTACACTGCAACCGCCACAGGTAGTCTTAATAAGTATGGCTCGTCGCGTGAACCAAGTCCTGCCGCCCTCGAAATCACAAATCGTATGCGTAGTCGGGAGCCTAGTCCAGTCTCTCGCGCGCTTAGAGGAAAGTCGCGCGATCCGAGCCCAGTGGTCGACACCAGTTGTAAAATTGGCTACGGCGCGCTCAACTCATATCGCATGTCAACGCCGAAATCATCCAGCACTTCGGGTTACAATGCACGTTATGGCAGTGGTACATCCGCGGGGCGTGCGCCAACTATGCCGCCGGACACCTCCATTTCATATCTTACGGCCAGTGACTTTCATGCGCGTTCTGTTAGTCGCGCGAGGGAGAGCGCTGCTCGCAAATCCAACGAGAAGGAAGTCGATGAGGAGGCGTCAGAAGAGCCAAAAAAGTTAGAAGAAAAGAGCGAAGATGAAAGCAGTTCAGAGGAGGAAGAGAAAGAAACATTTACCTCGGTGTCGGTGGTCACACGTGCCACGTCTCCCACGCCACCCGGCAGCGCGACAACTGTGCAAAGAACGCGTCGCATTGATATTGCAAAAACAATTGAAAAGACCATACAACGGTCAACATGTAAGCGAAAGACTTTGGATAAGGAAATACAATCTGACCGACTTGATGACTCGACGCGTTACTCGCGTTTCGGTCTGAGCAGTCGCGTGCCCTCATACAGTCCGCACTCGGAGAGTCGTTACACATCCACGAACCTACGATACAGTTCCAGCCCGTTATCGTCTGTTTCAAAGTCGTCCGCCTCAAATGTATCTACTGCCTCCGGCGGCGAGCCAAAGAAAGAGGCCACTGCTGCCGCTAGTAAAACTACACGCGCTACCGGGAACACAAAGTCGAAGCTGTCTCCTCCAAAGGTTGTTCGCATAAGCTCACGACAATCTTCGGTTGAAAATCTCACTGCCAACACAAATGCCAATAAGCCACCAACTGCACCGAAGGCTGAGTCACCCACCAAGAGCAGCTCCAGCAGCGCAAATGTGCCAACGAAGCTTCCGAACAAAGATTTTCGTAAATCCGCGCTGAATGTTGGCCCCACAGATCGGCCGCGCAAGTCCCGCACACCCAGTAGTGGTACGGATTCGGATGCAGTGCAGCAGGTTCACAACGATCTGGTTAACGGGACCGCACAGCGCAAAGATCGCTCACCGAGCGCTGGTTCAGAGGCAAGCAATGTATCGGCTGCGTCGAGTAGACGAGGAGCGACAGGTGAGAATAAATCACGGCCACGCTGCCATGCCAAAAAATCGTCGTCGGCAACGTCATCACTGAGCCGTCATAACAGCAGCAATAATTTGAAAAATAGTGCACACAAATCATGCACCCCATCGTCATCGTCTTCCACTTCCACTTCCACCTCCACCGTATCGTCATCGAGCGGCGCGGAAAGCGCTGGGGAACCAAAGAAAGCAAACAAAAAGCAAGGCAAGAAGAAGAACCTCAACACCCACAACAAAGAACATGCAGCCAACAATTCGAGTGTGACAAAGTGTGCGAGAAGCAGCACAGGTGATTCTAATGATCTGCCGTCGCAGCGGCCAGCGGCTGAAAATAGCAAGGCAGCACAACCACCGCCGCCACTGAGCGCAAATGATACGCGCTCCCCCCAGATAGACACGGCGGCAGCGGAGGCCGTTGAATCATCGCGCACAAATTCGAAATCGCCACTCACCTCCTCCCAAGAGAAGACCTCTAATCGACTGCAGAAGTTGTCGTCTGTGTCGAATTTTTTCGTTGCTCGTCAGAGCGATGTAAATAGCGAACCCATTTTCATCGAAAGCTCTGAGAATTCAGGGGGCGACTCAGAGACGGGTCAGCTAATTGGTAGCAGTCTTACGGCAGCAACCAAATCGAACGCGTCGCCAACGAATAACGCGACCACAACGACAACGACTGATCCTGTCAGCGTAGCAGCAGCTGAAGCAGAATCAACCACTACGACATCGAAACGAAACTGTTATAATTCGAGCCTCGACAACACAGAGGATACATCTGCGAGGAGTCAACGCAGTCTAACGAAATATAGCAACGAAACACAAGATCGCAGCAGATCTTCGGTAACGAAATCGACTAGTACACACTTCCCACACGAAACAACCGTTACAGAAACGGCGCTAACCAGCGAACAAGTAACCGATACCTACACCACTACGGCTACCACGTCTGCGGAGGAGCCAGAGGAGTCCAGTTGGTGGCAAGACACGAGTCGACAGATCGATACAGCATCTGCTTTGGGTTACCATCAAAAAGACGATATGCGCTTCAAGCTCAGGCACATCGACTCTGGCGAAACGGCGTGGTGGTTACGCAATGATGAGGACGACACTTTGGCGGATGATGATTTAAGAACACTCAACCAGGAGGAGGAAGATCAGAGCGAGGCCACTACAGCTCCTACACAGTCGCTGACCAATAATACGAATACGAATACGCAAAGCTGTAGTGATCAACGCAATGCATCACAAGCGAAGTACAGTTGGTGGACGAGCGACCAAAATGCAGGGAATGAAGATGGAGGAGGGCACGAAGCGGTCGCGCACAATGAAAATGATCAAAATGAAACGAACTGTGCGACGTACTATAAAGTAAATGGAGAAGCTAAGCAAATCGCAAGAAGCCACTGCACCCCAGAAAAGCCATGGTGGGGCGACTCAAATGAGGACAGCAAAGGCGATGATAAAAATAATGGGCGATTGGAAAACTCGAATAGTTCAGGTAAGCAAAATGGCGCCATTCAATTGAAAATTTGTCGCGTGGAATCTGGGGAGAAGTCTTGGTGGCTGAGTGAGGCAGAGAAGGAGCGGAAGAACTGTGAAGAAGAGGCGGCCGTCGAAGCTACCATAAAACTACCCACACGAAAAGCCGGTAACTTGGAGCGCTCATCGAGTAGCAGCAAGGAAGTGAGCGATGACAAACGTTGGTGGATGTCTGGCCCAATGAAGAAGCAGTTCACCGTCCAGCGCGTTGAGTCGGGAGAGCGTGCCTGGTGGCAGCAAAATGACGAGGAAGAGACAAGGCACCAATCGCCACAAAGGCAAAAGACGAATTCGAACCTCGCGCGGGCCGATTCCAATGAAAAATGTTGGTGGCAAGAGGACAATGACGATGACAAGCCGGTCAAAAGGCCGAGCACGCGAACGCAACGTTCTGACTCGGGCGAGAAAGCCTGGTGGCTGCAAGATGACGTGGAGGAGAAAGTACAGAATGGAGTCATCAATAATTTGAGCACAGCGGAATTGGATGAGGTATCAGCAGACGAAGCCAGGGGGCGAGATTACGCCGACATAGAAGTGCAACATATTAATGGGCACGTAGCTGGCGCGCAACAACAAAATTTTGGCACCGAACTTAGTAATTCGTTCAATTTCGAGTATTCAGAACGACCGCCACCATTGGGACAATGTGCCAGCCCCATTGCCCTTGAGCAAGTCGCCCCTCAAATGCCACCGCAACCGCCAACGCGCAATCTAAATCAATGTAAATCGCCTTACGATAACATTCCAATGTCGAAAGTTCAAATGAATCACTACTATCAGCCCCAATACTCAACTCAACCACAACCGCCCACAACACAATCATCAATACCACAACAATCACCTTACTACCACCACCAATCACAACAACAGCAACAAGCGCAACAAACAAATGATTACTACACACCTTATGCCAACAATAGCAACAATGTTGGCAACATCAGACAAACGTTTGTTGGTGAGAAGCTCTTCATATCGCGTCATCAAAATATCGATGAGCTTTTGGGTGGTTCGTGTCGTCCATTAAGTCCGCTCTTCTTGGACGGCAGCAGCAGCGCCAACAGCTTTGCCACAGTGCCGGCGAATCGCAACGTCTTCTTAGAGGAGATCACACCCGATCAAGTGCGCATACACGATAGTACAGCGCAAATGCCGGTGATTCAACGCATGGAGAGGTGAGTACAAGTACTGGTAACTAATGAGCACTGCTGGTATGAGTGTGGTGTGTGTTGAAAAGCTTATCGGTGTTTGGAGGTTGGTGTTTGTGAGTTAATGAATGGAAATTGAAATTCTGTTTCAGTTTTTTTTGCCCTTTATTAATTTATTTTTTATTTTCGTTTCTTTTTCTGGATATTAGGGACGAATGGGATAACTATGGAAGTGGAAGTGCAGCACAACCGATACCGTATTATGAGCAGAAAATGGTGAGTGAAAATAATTTTGCATTCGATTTCGTACTGATCTATTGTGTGCGCGGGTATTGAGTAAAATTTAAGTAAAATATGCAATGCTAAAAATTTCTTTAGAACGGTTACTATGTTTAATTAGCTAAAAAGTCGCATTGAAAAATGGGGAGAGGCAATTGTAGGTATCCAAAGAAATATTTTGGCCGGAATTGGGCATTAAATAATATTCGTGTAAAGACATTGTATCTGTTCCCACATAATGTTTTTTTAAATAGCACAAATTTTTTGTCATTTCAATGCCCAGTGGAAATTTGACTAGAGAAATAAGTTTTTTTTCGTAAATGCTTTCATTAAAGTAGTTTTTGTGATTGTATACGTGTTTTAGGAGTTGAAATTATATATACATATCTAATATTGCTTCCGTTGGTTTAGTGCGCGACCGCCATTCATCCATCGAATGACTTGCAGCATCCTTCCTTCTTGATGGCTGTAAGCAGTTTGTTCACGGCCAAGAAGGGGAGATAGAACTCCACCTAATCGACACTGCCACTAGATCAGCTTGCAGTACCTGGTTTATTCTACAAGCGTGCCCAGCCCCGAGTCAATGCTCAGATACATCAGCGCTTCCGAATTTGATGAGAACATGATGCTGTTGAAGGTGTCATCGGTATCTAGGATTGTTATCAGGTTATATGTATTTCTTGAAAGGCATTGATATTGTAATATGCCATTTTATGCGCTTTTCCCGGGGACTTTCCCTTGATATAAGCATGCTGTGCTGTCGCAAACTTGTTCGCGACTGGGTCCTTTAAATATTGCTTCATATGCCGAACCTGCGTTTTTAGTCTAAACGGCAATAAACTTAAGCAGGGATCACCCGATTTGTACATTGTCCCAGTTACAGCGTGGTGTTATTAGGAAAGTTGTTATTGGACTGAACTCATTATGTCTACACTACCCCTCTCTGTGACTGCCAAAATGTACAAATCTGTGCCAATGCACAAATGGAGTATGGGTCTAAACTCAAAAGAGTAGAGTTTATGTGTGAGCTCTCAAAATTTGCGGACTAAATTTCTTCTGTGCCTATTCGGTATGTGGTTAAGAGTAAGAACTCTTTCTATAATAGCACACAGATATTTTTGCTACATTCACGGAATTGTGGCAGTTGGATGAGTTTGACGAGGTATTTTCCTCGCCCTAACGCCGTGAGAGGGAAGACCAGTATATTTGCATGTATTTATAAAAAAAAAAATATTTATTGTGCCAAAAATTAGTGGGTAAGCACTGTACCCAATGGTCCGCAAAAAACTCCGAAAGCAGTGTCTGAGCATGCCATCCAATTATGACTTAAGAAAGTTTTATTACAACGCGGTTGAGAAGTGCGTGGCAAAAATCTCAAAAATTTAAAGAAGGAAAGTACATAGAATGCATTTAGGCAATTCATGTTAGTAGTCTCGCCTAAACATTGGGCATAGCTTCAAGGTTTCAATCTGCTCTTTGTAGATAATTTGTTCTTTCGCTAACAGTTTACGATTTACTATGGGTTGGCCCTCCTTTTTTGTAGAGCATCAAGCTTATTAGTGGCACCAAAATGAAAGTGCCTCCTCAGTAGTGGATCCAGCGCTTCTTCCCCTGTCTCTGTCCATCTGCATTCATGGCGCCCCGGAGAGTACCTTTCTAGGTTTACCTCAGTCCACATCCGTGCAAAAATCCCTTCATTACTATAGTAATCCTTGCTGCTTACTTTAGTAAGGATTAGATGTGGATTAGAGACATAAGCCACTTAACAGTAGCAAAAGTTTTTAGTTTGTGAACTTTGAAATGTCTCGTCATTGCAGAGGATCATCGATATGTACATATATGTATAATAAGTGTGAATCAATACATATTTACATACATACGTATGTCCGTGTAGCCAAAAGACTTCTGCGTATGGAAATCGAACAGGTAGTTCATAAAATTTTTTTATCGATTAATTTGGATGGGTGCCAAATTGCTTACAGAATTAAAAGAATGTATAAATCTTTCAAAATATGACACCGCGATTTAAAAAAAAAAACATTTAAAGGAGGGAAAGAGTGAAGATGAGTTAAATAAATTAATTGAGCAGAATAAAATTGCCAAGATTTATTATAGCAGCACATCAAAAGCGTAGTCATTGCGTATAATTTTGGAAACAAAATTTACCATTAACGATCGTCAAAGGTCAGAGAGCTACGCTTGCACATCAGCAATTTAGTGATAGTATTTTTGCCTGCATATATTTAGACATATCAGCATACATACATATGTACATGTGACTCACGCACGCACAACATTGCTGGGATTTCTACGCTGGATGATTGCCTCTTCAGCCGTTGCTGATTCAATTACGCAAAGAATTAAAGTGAAGTGAGATAGAGGACTTGCTTTGATTTCTCTGAACTGTGCGGCACTTGCGCGAAATTTGTTTAACAAGTCACTCAATTTGACACTTAAATTTTTCTATTTTATTACTTCATTATCGCACAGGCATATTTTATTTTAGGTATTGCGATTATATATAGAAAATATGTATGCAAGTACTTACTCGTATGCACATTTGTATATAAGTACATACATACATATATTGCTGTGCGCATGGCTATTTAATATTCAAATAAAAAATCTTTCAAAGTTGAATGTACTTTTGTTTTTTATGTTCTTTGATTAAATTTACGAGGCAAAAATATGTTTAATTTGAACGAAAACAAAAAGCTTGGCAATATTGACAAGGCAAACAGTCGGCATATTAACTTTAATGTTTGTATGCAGGGAAATGCAAGAATATACATACATTTTTTTTTGGTCGAAAATGAAGACACGCTTATCTTGGAAAATGCATTATCTCCAATTTTGTATAAAGAACAAGATTCCAACGCGAAATTGTATTTAAATGAAAAGTTGAAAAAGATACATATATACTAAAAGAAGTAAAAAACAACCACTCGTGCTCATATGTATACCCGTAGTTGCGTATGTAACGTATACGCCCCGCAGCACCATAAAAAGTCATATAACACGTTTGCTCGCACGCCGTAACTTAATATGGCTTATATTACTTAAAAATGATTACATATTTTGCTTTTGAGATTTTTACACAATATTCCTTATGAAGATATGTATCTATTACTTTTTTCATGCATAAATATAAAAATTTTAGAATACATTTCGATGATGCCAATAAAAATAGTAAAATTGGAATTTTAGTTTCTTCATTTGGTGACACACTAGTTTTGTTACACTAGATTCGTTGGTTTTACCAAGAATAATATTTTCACCGTTTCATTTCAACATTTTGAAGTATCTTAAATTATTACAATTAAAAAAAATCGTAAAATTTCAAAACCTACAAAAAAATGGCTGCGACAGATATTCTGCATTTCGGTACTTTTTCACTTAAAAATATTTTAAAGCGAAAATTGTGCAAATACTTGATTTTTGTATGCCACTTGTTTCTGGAACTTCACTGATTGCAATGAATGCAAGAATAATGCTTTAACGTTTTTTTTTTTTTGGTGAGAGAAGGGAGTGGACACTAAAAAAAAAACAACTCGTGAGATTTGCTCGTATACACAAATTTTGTTACTTTGGCGGTTCTTTAGTTGGTATTTCCCTTAGTTTGGTAATGATCTTTCGCAACAGCTGATTTATAAAAATTTTATTATATACGAGTGCAACTAATATTTTAACCCTTTCATGTCTGATGTTGACTTTAAGCAACGTTGACATTTTGGTGTATAAATCTTGGTTATCGAAATATTTTTTCTAATGGCTCATTTTAAATGACATTTCAGAATATTGTGAAGGCAAATGAATGAAATCCGTGTTATAATTATGGAACCATTTGGTTTTCAGCTTCAGTTGCTAAAAGTGTTGCTGCAACATCAAAAAAAGTGCACATAATAAGTAATATATTTCCTTTAATATAAGGGTTAAGGTTCGGGCATGAGAGGCAACTTTCTAATATACTCCACGTCTTTATTTTCATCTATATTATAATGTCAAACAACAGTCGAGATTTTGAGGGTGTTACAAAAATGTTTAATGCAGTTTCGTGAATTACTCGGCGAGCCCTACGAGCTCTACTAGGTCACTTAAACAGTTCAGTTACACCGTGTTACTATTTCAAAGTCAAAAAATTTTTGTTAAACTTGAATATTTTTTCAATATTGCATTCCAAGCCGAACTCTTGAATTTACGTCGTTCTTTAGATGTGGTCAATAAATTTCATAAAAGTCAACCTGCAAAGGAAGTTGGCTACATAAGCAAGAATATGTTCGTTTGAGTTATTAAATTCTTTGCTTCTACTATATTTATCATTACACATTTTACGAGTATCACGCACACACATACTGACTGACTGACGCTTATCCTCGTCAAATAGGAATCAGTTGTGTTCTCTGGAATAACGACAAATGACAGTGCCATTGACCAACTAAATGGCTAAATGGTTGAATGGCTGAATGAATGAATGATCCATGAAGGAGCGAATGAGTGATGAATGTGTTTTTAATTTATGCACAAACTTGTGATTCCACTTGCCATTTTAATAATTTTTCGCTGTTTTATTTTTTATTTTTTTTTTGAGTTTTTGTTGGTGATATTTCATTTTATATTTATTTATTTACGAGCGTACACTCTTACTTACTTATATACGGGGTATATTTGTGTGTAAGTTGAATGTAAAATTATTTGCTAAGTGGATTTATATGTTGTTCTTTTTTCGGATTTCGTTTACCTTCACTTGAAGTTGAGGCTTTATAAGCTCGTTTACACTTGCGGAATTCACTTAAGAAATTTACATACATACAGATGTGTGTGTTAGTAAACGCATACTTGCATAAAATTTATAAGTGTGTACATATGTATAAGTACATATATATATGTGTAGGTATTGAGTGAAATTTGATCCAAAGACGCCATCCTTTTTATAGTAACTAATAACACTGGTCTACAAGGGTTTTGCGAATAAGACGGGACCTGGTGTTTCCGAACGGATTTTTCGTGCTGAACACGAATCTGGGGTCCAAAACTTCCCATCACGTCACGTTTTCGAGAAAAAAAGGGGTTGAAACCCCTAAAAACAGCGTTTTTGGCCATTTTTGAAAAATTGTAGA